TTAGTGGTGCGATTTGTGGTTCGGCAAGAAAAGTGACTTCAACAGGTGGAAATCTGAGAGTTGACCAAGCTGACACGCTGGCTGCCATTGCGGGGCCCTCAGGAGTATCCAGATCACAAGGCCCTCTCGAATGAGCTTGAGAGCATCCCTCTTGGATCTGAGAGACTCAATACTTCTCCGTCTGCCCTTCTTACTCTAAGTCTGGTCTTGTTCTAAGATGAAGGCGGCAGGCGGGATTGCAACTCGTAGGTCCGCGTCAAGACTCTGTGGGGAGTCCACCCACCGATTGCGGGAGCCCTGCCGGTACTCAGGAGGATTTATGGAGGCAGGGAATCGTCAGGTAAACCACTTCTATCTGTACAACCTACTACCACCCTTGTTTGTTTATCCCCCTTCAGTATGACTGTTGTATGCATGAGGTTGCCCCTATGGTTTCTGCTTTCTCTTCAGGACCCAATCAGACTGAATGGAAGAAACGTTTGAGAGTGAAGCCTAAGTTTTTTCTTTATTTTGATTGAAGGCAGACAAAGGGATAAACTGGGGGAAAGGTGGGAGGAAGGTAGTCTTGCATGCGTTTGGAAGGGTCAACCGAAGTCTGAGCATTGTTTCCATGGTGAATGGCTCAGGGCTGTGTTTATTTGACTGTTTTCTGAAGGACCAGGCATTGTTTTCATGGTGAATGGCCTGGTTGTTGTATTTATTTAGCTGTTTTCTGGGAAACCAGGCATTGTTTCCATGGTGAATGGCCTGGTTGCTCTAGTTAACTCTGGGGGTTTGCCTGATTGAAGGAGTTTAAGTTCTTGTTTATTCTGAGGGAGGATTTATGGTCTAAGGCTAAGCATTGTTTCCATGCTGAATGGTTTAGCCTGAAAACCACACACATAAGTTAAACTAAGTATAAAGGAAAAATACTTTATATATATTTGCATGTGAACTGGCAGATGGACATTGTTTCTATTGTGAATGGTTCAGTGTTAAGCCATATCATTAAGAAGAGAAAGGGAAAAATACAAAGTATAAATGAAAATAATTTTGGGCAAGCTGAACATTGTTTCCATGGCGAATGGTTCAGTTCCCTGCCCATATTTGTTTTCCTCTTTGAAAACAAAGTCAGAGAAATACTAAACTTTGGATATTAAACAGCTCAGGGCGACTAGACATTGTTTCCATGGCGAATGGCCCAGTCATCTGCCCAAAAGAAGAGAGAAGTAGTTGTGCAACCTATTCGTATATATCATAAAGACAAGCTCGGCATTGTTTTCATGGCGAATGGTCCAGCTCTRTGTCTTATGTAAGAGGGAAATAAGGGTTCAAGGACTTAAAAGATTCATAAACTATCTATATGGAATGAACTTGGGGYTGGTGAGAGTACTTACCTTTGTGGTTTGGCTTGCATGTGACTGAGTGAGGCCACTACTTAGTCTGAGTTTCAGGTTAATAGGTAGTTGCTTTAGATACTCGCCATGTGCTGGAGTGGTTGGAGTTAGTATAATTCATGTATTTTCTGTAGTAATTTTCTTTTACTTAGATCAATTCTTGCATTTTCTAAGATTTTTTCTTATACTTGGCTTTGTATAAATCTTGTAAGCTACTTTTCCTACGGAAAGCGCTGCCGAAATTTCTACAAATTTAAGGAGTTAGTTGAATTTTGACTTGTCAAAAGTTCAGCTTTGTCTTTTCTCCTATCTGACTTATTTAAAATATGGGAAGTCTCCTTTTGTAAAGGGAGTGCTGCCCTAATTTTTAGCTAGTTCAGGGAGTTAGACAAAATTGAACTTTGGGAAGTCAAAGTTACTTTCAAATTCTGAACTTAGCCTTGTATAAATTTTGGAATAACACTTTTCTAGAGGGAGTGCTGCCGAAATTTCTACAAAATTAAGGAGTTAGTTAAATTCTGTCTAAAGTTGAGCTCGAGCTGTTGTTCGAGTTTATATCTGACTTAGTGTAAATCTGGTGCCCAAATTTCTATTGTTTCAGGGATTTAGACAGAATTTGACTTTCCGGAGTTAGAGATTATTTCTGCCTTTATATCTGACTTAGTATAAATCTGGAAAACCTCCTTTTCTAAAGGGAGTGCTACCCAAATTTTTGCTATTTCAAGAAGTTAGACATAGTTTTGACTTTCCAGAGATGGAAATTATTTCTGTTTCATATCTGGACTTATATAAATTTTGGAAAGGCACTTTCGCTACGAGAAGCGCTACCGAAATTTTCTTAGATTAAAAGAGGTCGAATATGTTTTGACAAGTGGGGATTTTTGATAAATTCACTCTGACTAAGGAAAGATTTTGCTATATTGCTTAGAGGTAGGCTTAGACATAGTTAACTAGGATGATTTGGGTAAGATCATGATATGGAGATTGCCCTCCATGAACTCATAGGTTTAGCCTGGGGCTTTGACCTGTCATGTATTACAGACCCTCTTGATCGTCTGATTCAAGTTCAGGACTAGATTCAGCGTGATCCCTTGAGGATCATCTTCAGTTATCACTGATCACAGGTCGGTTGTCGATTCATCGGTCTACGACTCAGTTCCAACTCACCCTCCACACTCAACCTAAAAGCCTTTAGCCCTGGTAATTTTTCCTTGTTTCATTGTGGTTTCACCCGGACTTTTATTGAATAGCCATTTAACAAAGGTACTGAGTATTTTAATTAAGATTGGTTGGACAGGAGGTTTGGGGCTTGCATGGCTAAAGCGAGGGGTATGAGTGTCGAAGGTGGTTGGGGTTGACTCCGTGTAGTGTGTGGGTTGTTGATTTGACTCGTTGATGTGATTGCAGGTACGTGCTGTGAATCAGATTCTGGATTTGGTTGCCTGCGATTACATATACACGTATTATTGTGAGAGACCCCAGAGAGAGTGTGAGAAGTGATCGTCACATACTTGCCCATTTATATATATATATAAATGGGTATACTTGGGGTGAATGTCTACATCAGCTAGGGGCCCATTCTAAGAGCCTACTCAGAGGTAAGAACTGAGAGGCATAAGGAAGACCCTTCCTGGTATTTTGTTTTGCTTCTTGGGGATTCCTTTAGTCGGACGTTGGTCCAGGGCCGAGATTCAAGGTCCTTGTCCAGGACATCCCAAGCCCTAGGCTCTACAGGGGAGGGATTTTTCCCTCGCAAATAGCCTATTTGCTTTGACCATCGAGGCACCCCACCCTGAAGGCAGAAATGTCGCGAGGGCCGAACGGCATGTCCTTCAGTCGTTCAATATCGTGTG